AGGCTGTGACTCATGACCATGCAGCCTGAGTCTCAGCCACAAGGTGGCTACCAAACAATACCAAGACCCCAACCTTAACTTAAATTAGGAAAGGGGCCACTCAGGCAAGTTCCCTAGTTCTCTGTGTGAACATCATCCACTTTTAATCACACTCTTCCTGAAGGCAAACTGCCCCTCCCTAGATTTGTCCTGGAACTTGTCTGTGCACAGCCACAATGCTTTTAATTGGTCAGAAAAAACCCAAACGGTGTCTGAAACTTATAGCAAGCCTCAAAATGGAGTTAGGGTTCCCGATGCAGACCACAGCCTTCCACAACCCAAGTGCTTTAGAATTTAAGCTCTAATATAGACTTCATCATACAAAGTTCTATTAGTACAGACCACCTACCTACAACTGCAGCATCAAAACGGCCTCAATATATAGAATTAGGTGGCACAAAGGTATTTTGCAATAGTGAATTATACCTACCCCATTTCTGAATTCACTACTCTGGTTCTTTCATTCAGAAAACAAAATCAAGGCAATGCCTAAAACTGCTGTTAGCTGCCAACTTTACTGGAGGTAGTGACCAGCTCCAGTCACTGATCAGCTGTGTGACCATGGGCAAGTAACTAAACCTTCCTCATCCCAGCATTCTCATCAGTAAAAAGGACACAGCATTTGGTAATAGCATAATGCTGAGCATTGAGTGAGGTAACAGATGTCACCTGCTAAGCAGCACTGGGGACACAGTTAAATCCTCACTAAACTGTAGTTGACTATTGTTTTTTGATGGATTGACAGAGTGGCTGCAACAATGAGCTCAAGTATAGCACAGATGGTGAGGAGGGCACATGACTGGGCAGTGCTTCATTCTGTTGTACAGAGGGTCGCAATGAGTCAGAGTCAACTCCGCGGCACCTGACAACAACATCGTGAGCTGTGGGCACCACCTGTCTGTCAGTGAAGATTGTGTGTCATTATGATGCTGAACAGGTTTCGGAAGAGCTGCCAGCCTAAGACAGACTAGGAAGAAAGGCCTGGTGATTCACATCCAAAAATCAGCCGATGAAAACCCCACAGCTCACAATGATCCAGTCCCCATCAGATCACAGGGAAAGAAGACTAGGCAGCGTTCCTTCTGTTGTGCAAGCAGACACCATGGATTGAGGGCTGACTCCGTGACAGCTCACACAACAGCAGCACTGATACCCACTCTTGGTAAAGGCAAAACTGTGACCTTCCCACTGATCCACAGGTAGACAGAAAAGGGTGGATAGGCTGAACAATCTGGTATGTCTAGGCCCGGAGAGTGTGCCCGTGACCGCGTATAGGGTTGGCAGACGATGTTTCTACAAGCATATTTGTATGTGCTGTAAGAATGTCTGGATGTACAGTAGAGCTGACAAGAGACAAGGTTTTGGTGGCTTCTTGGCCACAGCCAGCTACCCTGAGGGAGCAAGTAATTGGAGCTGTAGGCTTGGGATCATGGTCACAGGGGACATCAAGCTCAAATGGAAAAACATACTATACAAAAACATTGCTGAACAATCAGGTATGTCTAGAAACACATCTGCCAATACATGGCCATGGGTACACTCCCCATGCCTAGGCACACTACACAAAAACACCAGTCTACATTCTACTTTGGCCACGCATGAGGTGTACTGACGAGGAATCGGACCCGGATCTCCTGCATGGCAAGGGATAACTCCACCACTGTCTCCATTATCAAAGGTTGTTGTTGTTGTTGTAAGGTTAGCTTCTAACAGCTCACGCTGTTGTTATTAGGTGCCGTGGAGTTGATGCTAACTCATCGCGACCTTCCGTACAACAGAACAAAGCACTGCCCATCTGGGGTCTTAAAAGCTTACAAGCAGCCATCTAGAATCACTCATGTTTCTCTTCATCCAGAGCAAAGAAGAATGAAGAAAACACAAGATTCATGGAAACAATTAGTCCAAGGGACTAGGAGACCATGTGATCCTCAGCCTATATGACCATAAGACCAGAAGAAATAGATGGTGCCTGGCTACCAATGTCTGATCCACTTGGAGGGGGGATCAGAGCAGGGGATCCTGGATACAGTGGGAGACAATGTAGAATAAAACTCAAAATCATAAAAAAAAGGAAAAAAAAACCAGGTTTGCTGGTCTGAGAGAGCCTGGTGAGACCCCTGAGACTATGGGCCCTAGTTACCCTCCAGGTCTGGAACGGAACTCACTCCGCGACTTCCAGCCAAACAACAGAAAGGCATTTGGGGTGAACATTTACATCAGGTAGATACACTCCTTGGAGCGATCAATTGTGGGAGAACAGAAGCGCAGAGTTTGTACAGGGAGACAGTTAGGGGTGGGGGGAGAA